GTTCCACTCGCTACAGCGGCTCCGCGGGCCTGACCAAGTGTCGCTAGTTGGCTTCCCAGGGTCCATTCAGCGAGTCGCGCCAACCACGACCACGTATGAATTGTGTACGTATGTCCTATATCGACTGTGACAGGTCGCTCTGAACAGCTGTAGGTAATATGTGTTAGTGCAGCAGTATCTCCACACAACGGGCATGCGTTGGGATATCTTACCGGGTACATCATGTGAAGCTTGTGCAGATGTAGGAATGCATTAGTCTGCAGGCGGTGCCAGTCCCAAGCTTGATGTCTATTGAGGTCCTTATGTTGAGGTTCCTTGATGCACCGATCTCATTTTTGTTTACCTAATATTCCACGCCGTGTCACTCCTTCATATGTATCCTCTTCAGCAGCGGGCGGCAGAGGGGCTCGGCCACTGAGAACTCGAGCTTGGCAATGAACAAGTTCATTGCCATCCTGGCCCGTATGGGCCGGACACTAGACTAACTCATGGTCAAAGAGGAGTTCGTTTCCCAACCGCTTGACTGCCTTTGTAGATAATATGCCCTTGAGGTACATGCGACAAGCTGTCTGACAGTCTGAGACAACGTAAGCAGAGGTACCCTGTTTTTCTGCCATTCGAATGGCGAGAACAATGGCAGTTGCCTCGGCTGACGCGGAGGATGAGGTACACTTGGAGGCAGAGTTGACAAGTTTACCCCTGTTGACTACAGCGAGAGCTAAAGCGTGAGATTGCCCTTTCTGCTTAGGGTAGAGACTGACGTCTTTATCATAAACGTCAGGATGATTCTTGAGTCCCTGCAGTCTCTGTATTCGAGCTTTTCGGCGTCCTATAGGGTGGTAGCGACGCATATTGTGAGGAATGGGCTGCGTCATAACGCATTGTCTGAGATTTTGTGTAAGTTGGTTCATGGCTTCAGAACAATACTGAGGTGAGATAGGATATCCGAGTTTTTATAAGAGAAATTTTCTTTGTGGTGTGCCACAAAATCTTGATAAAAGAGCTGGAATTGTTCCTTCATTTGCTGCTGCAGGCTTTTTTGTAAATGTTCTAGCGAAACCTGTAGATCTACTTCAATCTGCTGGTGTGTGACATTTGGCTGTGCAGCTCGTTTGGAAGAGCATTGGATAGCAGTTACCGGCTCCTTGCTCTGGCTAAACCGTAGAGTGGGTGTCAGTTGGGGCACTTGTAACTGAGTACATTGCATTGGTCGTGGCCGTGTGTTTTCTGCCTGCCTTTTTTTATAAAAGCAGCTCTATTTTCTTCTCTAACAGGTCTATTTTCTTGGCATATCTCTTCATTTGCGCTTTGGGTTGTTTGTTTTCTGTTACAACCAGTTGATACGCCTGGCTGTGTATAAGTGGAGTGGCCGTAGGAGACGCAACGTCTGCCTTCCTTACCTCTAGATCTGCAGTCTTCATCCCCTGCTGTTGTTGGTTTTTGTGCTTCTTGAGTGGACTAGATGCCTGTCTTAGCTGGTGGGCTGCCTGGTTTGCTGTCTTGGTCGCCTGGAGTCTTTCTCTTTAGCCGGAACGAGAGCAAGATCGGGATTTAAAAGAGGTCCGGGTAGGCTGCCCTCCGAGCTTGATTTTTCTTCATCTTCCGAGGAAAACCATCGCCGTAGCATCTCGGAAGCATGCGAAGGTAGTATTTTCGCACATTCTTTTTGTGTCGGTTGCGCAGTAGCACTGGCTTAAGTGTCTTGGAGCACGCACGATCCCCGGTAAGATGAGCTTCCCCGCATGAGGCGCAAATCAGTTGGCACGGATGTCTGGAGGTAAGTTTGTGTGTGCCACAAAGTTTGCAAAGATGTTTATCAGGTTGCGGGCAAATGTCTGCACGGTGTTTCTTTTCCCTGCAGACTTTGCAAATTTGCAAAGTAGCACGAAACGGGTGGCAAATAAGTTGACCTCCATAAAAATAGACAGTTCGAGGAAGCTTGTCTTCATAGAAAGTGAGGGCTGCGCTCTTAGTGTTGCCTATCATTTTGGCTTGCACAAGTTCGGTGCCTTGAGTGCGTGTGCAAAGATGGGCCATTAAAATTTCCATAGACGCATTGGGTTGAATACCATGCACAACTCCATGGAGTGCCTCTTCTCCCGAAGCCACGTAGGCGCGCACCAGGTGCGGTCTGCCATTGATTACAACTTTTTGAACCTTCCGAACGAGTTCAGCTACTTCGCAAACCTTCCTGGATAGTATGGCAACATTGAATTCTCAGTTGATATGCAAAATGAACTTCTCGTACGTGAGCTGGTGGTCATAGGTTTCGATGATTGCTCTTGCTGGTTCAGAAGCATATAGCTATAAGGCCAAACTTCATAAGCGCGAATATGCACGCGACAGCGACAAGCAACACGTGCATTTTCTGAGAATTCAATGGCAACATTGAATTCTCAGTTGATATGCAAAATGAACTTCTCGTACGTGAGCTGGTGGTCATAGGTTTCGATGATTGCTCTTGCGGGTTCAGAAGCATATAGCTATAAGGCCAAACTTCATAAGCGCGAAAATGCACGCGGCAGCGACAAGCGACGCGACGTAGATCGGCTTTGCGCGATTAGTCGCTAGCGCAGGCAAACCTCATTCACGCGATGGCTTCGGCGAGCGAATTCCACTGTTGCTGGCATGAGGCCGTCTACTCACACCAAGAAAACCGCGTAGCGACTGGTATGCAATTTAAAAGTAAGATATATTGTTGTGTAATGAAGCGGAAAGTGTTTATTATTGCCTTGCAGCACTTTTTTATATGCACATGCGTAATAAACATTGGGTTATTTCTTGTTGCGCATACGTGACTCGGGCAGGATGACGTGCACCTATGTAGTCCTTGTCTTTTCCGGTATTTCGCTATTGGCTGCTTGAGCCCAGCACTTCCGGGCGATGAGCGACGGTTTCCAAATCAGGAAAACCGAGCGATCGCGCGAAAACGAGCACGCGACACGTCGCGCGAACGCCCTGTTTCGTCGCTCATAGCGTCGCTCGTCGCTGTCGCGTGCATTTTCGCGCTTATGAGGTTTGGCCCTCAAACAGCAGGCCTTGGTTCGTGTGCATGAAAATTTTATAATCATCCTCAGGCAGTGGAGAGTGTTTTTGTACTCGCCGTGCATGCTTTTTACTGTGTAGCATTTGTTTCTGCTGGGCCTGAAGCGCGACAAGGTTGCGGCGTTCCTGGGCTTGTTCCTTGCGTTGCCAAAGCGTTTAGCTGACCTGCCAGTGCGAATCATCGCCGTCGGTAGCATCGGGTAAATTGTCACTCACTGAGGCATGGCCGTTGGCGTTGGTATGTTTCATCAGTGTGCTAGCATCATTGTCTGCACAGGCGTCAGTTGTTTCAGTCACCGCCTCTCCATCCACGTTGTCTTCCATGCCATGGCCCAGCTGGAGACGCTTCAAGCTGCAGCGTCTCTCCGCTTGCCCAGCGGCCGCCTAACCAGCGTTAGTGTTGGCAGGCCATCAGCTGTGGTCAGGGCCTATGTGGTGGCGATTTCCAGATATATGCGTCCCGGTCTTCAGATGCACTCTCGTTAGACGCCGGGAAACTTCCGAATTCTATTACGGAACTTTCAGGACGTTATCATAAGATAAACGCCAAAGAAGAGAATCAATACTAAAGAGCATGAAGTGACGACATCTATACTGCTTCGCGCCCCATAGCGTCTCTCCTGAACGAGGTGTGAAGTATGAAAGCGTGCATGCCCCAACCGTCATCGCAACATAAAAACGTGACGTAACCATAGAAAGGCCGCTATTGTGCTCAGTGTATATAGCCGCTACGACGTCATTTATTCCACAGTTTTTTATAGCGTGCGCTGCGAGATAAGGTGGCTTTAGTACAGAGCCTTTCGTAATTTTTTCTGCTTCCGTGGTCAAAACGGATACTTTTTTACGTGAAAAAGTAAATCACAGGAAGCCCGTAAGCTTCAGCAACAAGTCATGGGTCATATTACCAGCAAAGAACATATAAGTGATGAACTAGCTTGAGGAACGAAGCTCCTAATGAGTGCGTCGGTCGTCCCCTGTGTGTATGCATGTATCTAGTAACCACCTCAGAGCATATCCCCAGAGTGATGATGAGTGGGCAGAAGCTTCGGCACGTTTTATCGGCAAACCGTGAATCATTCGCTCACCGCGTCCGTTCGTTGTCTTTCTGTTTGACGCATGGACGGACGGATAGATGGACGAACGGACGCACGGCTGGACACATGGGTGGACGCAAGGACTGAAAGACGCATGGATGAACGGACGGGTGAAAGCGGCGACGTATGCACTGATGGACGCACAGATGAACGCATGGAAGCACGAACGGACGGACGGATGGACGCACAGACGGATGGACGCACGAGCGGAAGAATGGACGGACATGCTGGTGGACGGAAGTAAGAACGAATGGACAGATGGAAGCGTGCACGGACTGATGGACGCTTCATCCCACTCATCATCATTTCAGTCCGTGGGGTATGCTGTGATTCTTTTCGAGAGCGGAGCACCTTAGGGTCTCAGCGTGTCGGCCTGCACCGTCGTCTCCTTTTTTTCTGCTGCTGCTATTTTAACGATCAATTTGCTTAATTAATAGAGACTGCCTTTCCTCGTCAAGAGAAAGTTCATTCTCTCTTGCGGATAGATAGATAGATAGATAGATAGATAGATAGATAGATAGATAGATAGATAGATAGATAGATAGATAGATAGATAGATAGATAGATAGATAGATAGATAGATAGATAGAAAGATAGATAGATAGATAGATAGATAGATAGATAGATAGATAGATAGATAGATAGATAGATAGATAGATAGATAGATAGATAGATAGATAGATAGATAGATAGATAGATAGATAGATAGATAGATAGATAGATCACACCCTCCTCCTAGAGGAAGAACACTGAACACGCATGTGTCCATCGAGCGTCATTTAACAGCCCTAACCTACCTGTTTCCTCGCATCCTTAACAACTTATCATTGAAATCACGTGTCCACTTTCCATGATTTTCAGCAAGCTGGGATCGAAGACTGCTTGTACTACTGCGACTACGTGTCTCATAACAACACTTGGCTTTATGGGTATTACCAAAACGGCATATACTGCTGGGTAAGGCATACTAATTCCTGTTTTTTCGTGATTTTTTTTTCGGACAACGCCCAACATTGGGTCGTTTTTACGAAGTATAAGAACAGCCCTTCATTTACTCAAAATAGAAAACAATCTTATCCCAGTAGCCTTGCTTTGAAAGCTGGTTAATTAGACCTCATTAGAAAATTTCAATTTTAGATCACAGCTTCTGTACATCCCAGTTGTATATGCTTGCATAGTGCAATCATGGTACTTTAATTTGTGTGTGTGTGAATAGTCACGTTTTAGTTTGAATAGAATGATAATTGAATGGTGCCGAATTGGGGCTTAAATATTTGAATATAAAATCCAATATAGATTGGTATGCCTAATATAAACCTGTACCGCCAGTTACGGCAAAACAAAGGGGAAAAAATTGACAGATCCCAAGTACGGTGGGAATCGATGATATGCGAAGCACGAATGATAAATGTTGATATGTCACTTTAAAATCAGCACAACGTTACGAGGGGGGGGGGGTAAATGATGCCGTACATGACTTCCTTGTCATGATTGCCATGCTTGGATGCGTCGTTTACCTTCGTCACATTATACCAAATTTAGTGTATGTGGAGCTTGCGAAACGGCAGCGAGCACGCTAAGAGCGTGGTATGTTGTAATGTTCTTACAAAACACACGTGTCAGGATTATCATGTTTGCACCAGTCATATGTTTCGTCATCTATTCACGTCATGCAAGACCAAATTCGGTATATGTTGAGCTAGCAAAACGTCCGCAAGCGCATCATGAAGGGCCCAATATACTCCAACGTAGCGTTAACGCGCGTGCACGCTGGGCACAGCGACGCTACGTTAGCAAAACGCTAACACTCTATAGTCTGACGCCAGGTAACCGATGGCAACCAGTGCGAAATGCCAAACGCTGTGCTTCGCGCCGGTGCCTTACCCAGAAAACACTGTGTCTCCCTCTTTTCGTGACGGAGGGACGCCGGACGCGCTGAAACGTGCATGCGTCTAAGCAACACGGCGCGGCGTGCGCCTGCGAGTATATGGCAGGACCGGCAACTGGCATTGCAACGCCGGCGGGATGCGACGAAATGAATGCTGGTGAGAACGTGCACCGCGTCACGTCGAAATGTATTGGCGCCTTGACAGTGGCATCTAGTCACGTTCTCACATGACACACATCTCATGATTATCATGTTTGCACCAGTCACATACCTTCGTCATTCATTAACGTTACGTAATACCAATTTGACATGTAAGCTAGCGAAACGGCTGCGAGCGCATCATGATTGTGGCATGTAGTCACGTTGTTACATAATACGTATGTCGTGATTATCATGTTTGGATGTGTTATTTACCTATGTCGCCCGTTCGCGTCGCGTAGTACCGAGTTTAGTACATGTGAAGCTAGCGAAACGGCCATGGGCGCATCATGAGCGTAGCATGTAGTCACCTTGTTACAAGACACGCATCTCATGTTTATCATGCTTGCACCAGTATCATATTTAGTAATCCATTCACGTCCCGTGATACCGAATTAGGTATAATCGATGCTTGCAAAACGGCAACCAGCGCATCATGAGCGTGGTATGTATTTATGGTACATGACACGCATCTCTTGATTATCATGCTTGCACCAGTCACGTACCTTCGTCACCCATTTACGTACTGTAATACGAAATTTGGTATATTGAGTATATGCCGCGAGCACATCATGGGCGTGGCATGAAGTCATGCAGTTACATGACACGCATGTCATGATTTTCGTTTTAGGGTCTGTCGCTTGTGTTCGCCATGCAATCATGCCACACCAACCAGCTTAGTAACATGCCATGTGAACCAAACCACCGCAAGAGCTGCCAGACCATGAAATTCACATCATGACATCGATGACATACGTCATGATTTTCATGTTATGACTAGCTAAATATGTTTTTTACAGGCATGTTATGCCATACTAAGTTTGGTATCGATACCATTATCGAAACGGCCAGGAGAGCTAAAAGACCTACATGGCTAGATAGATAGATAGATAGATAGATAGATAGATAGATAGATAGATAGATAGATAGATAGATAGATAGATAGATAGATAGATAGATAGATAGATAGATAGATAGATAGATAGATAGATAGATAGATAGATAGATAGATAGATAGATAGATAGATAGATAGATAGATAGATAGATAGATAGATAGATAGATAGATAGATAGATAGATAGATACTCGCCGAAGTTCGCTAAGAATCATTTCGCATTTATAAAAACAGTTACGATTAAAAGTACAAGGTAATCTAGTATGGGAGACGATAAAGCCGTTCCGAGGTCCTCACACATGATGGCGCTACCTAGTTTATACCAAGTAAGTTGTTAACCATTGTGGGTATTTCGTGCCCTATAATAGATGAGTTCATTTCAGACCCCACGTGGGGGCATTACATAAGAGATGACGTGCAAGAATAACTGCTACTCTACGAGTGTTCAGAAAAAGTAGTTAACAATTTGGCGCACTAGGTGCTCCAAATTGTTTCAGAGAATTTTATTTCCGGATATATCTAACACAGCTTATGTGCACACAGAAAAATGAACAGTGGTGATCAATGCGTATGTACAATGCAAGCTGTTATATACAGCGTAAGAACTTATAGCGTATGCAGTGACGTACGACGCAAAAATAGTACAACAAAGACGGGACATTCATGACATCGAGATGATTAAACTTAAACAGTAAGGCTATATGAACAAACAAGGGGAGGTCATTCACTATGTAGGGTGATGTGTACCTGGTTAGAAAAAATTTATTTACAGCATGTACAAAACACAAAGGCTTCATACCATTTCAGTAACAGGGCATATACACCTCGTCACATCTATATTTCACGACTAACATCACTACGTTACAGTCAAGACATTTGCTCTAGTATACATGACAATGTTGGCATAAATGTACACATGTGGACTATGACTTGGTACGGACTATGTATTGCTGTCGCGGGATAGTGGGGTTATCCACACACATACAGGTAGATGTGTATATTTGTGGGGCTGGTTTTATGAAGTAAGGTTGAATATCGTGGCTGACATCTCCAAAGTAAACAGCAGTAATACTAAGTTGAGTTGTGCATTTTCCTCGGGAACATGCAGCTTTATTTGTAAAAAGCATATCAAAGGAGAAATACTTAAAAATCATTTGATCTTGCACTGGTACTTTCAATAAAGGTACTGTACTGGAGCATAGTGGCGCCAGCTCTGTACCAGCGTGAAAGAAGACGTTGACGTCCATGTGGCTCGTGCTTACCGGGTTCCTGTCTGTACCAGCTTGTTGGGGCTAACGCTTCTTAATCAGTAACAAGTGTTTTTACGTGAACTTGCTCGTTGCATTTGGTGGAGGTGCTGGGTAACATCCTGGTGCTCCGCAGCCATAAGCTACCATCTGATTCCAGAATGACCGAGCGCGTTGACTCCCCACAAGCCTCTTCCACGTCGCCGCCTGTCATGTGCCCTGGTGTATTTTGTCTGCGTGACCCAGTAGTCTACAACGGCACTGAAGATCACGATGTCGAGGACTGGCTGGCAGAGTACAAGCGTGCCAGCGCGATTAACAAGTGGGATGACCCTGCGAAGCTGACTCACGTCATCTTCTACCTGACAGATTTGGCCAACCTATGGTTCACCAACCACCAAGCCGACATCCCCGCCTGTTCGGTTTCAAAGAGACAGTGACCCGTTTTTGGGTCTTCCAGCTATGCGCAAGCTTCGCGCTGAACTTGGCCTGCGGAGACGATTTCAGTGAAACGGTGAGAGCTTCACGAGCTACATTGAGGATGTGATCGGCCTCTGTAGGCGAGTGGATGCGAGGGTGACGGAGGCTGATAGAATAAAGCATTTAATGAAAGTCATTGATGACGACACTTTTCATATGTTTGTGGCCAAAGACCCACAAATCTTCACGGCCGTGATTCAGCTCTGTCAAAGTTTTGATGAGCTGCGCAAGCAGCGAATTTCTACTCGTCGCGCTAATACGCAAACAGCAGATATTCCGGCTTTAGAGTGCAAAAGAAGTGGCCCCGACTACACTATATTGATGCCTCAAATTCAACAGTACATCCGCGAAGAAGTTGCTCGACAGCTCTCTCTTGTGGCCACCATCAACGAGACCCCCACAGCACTGGACCACTCACTTCACCGTGCTATTCAGACGCAAGCTGCCGAGTCTCTCCCTTCGCCCATGGCCCCAATATCAGGTACTGCACGGCTAACTTAGGCAGAAGCCATCAGCCGACCTCCTGCCCAACCGCTGCTCCCTTCATACAGTACAGCCACCAACAACTACAGGTTACCTGTTTCAGTTTATCCGGTAAATGAACGCTTCTCGCAACCTCGAGCACCTGTTAACTCTTGGCGTACTCCGGATAACCAGCCCGTCTGCTACAACTGCGGTATTCCAGGGCATGTCGCGCGCCACTGTCGTCACCGTAGATTATATTATAATGAAGCTCAACATTCCGGCATCGTTCCTCGGCAACCAGAATCACATGTTACACCTGATGCACCTGACTCCCGCTCACGTCGACCAGACTTTAACCCGTCTTCAGTCTCCTTCTCCCATGCTTCGCCATTCCAACCACGCCCAGGAGGAAAACTAACAGTCGCAGTTCCAGAGGCAAGAACTGCGCCACCGACAGAATTTCCAAGGCTTCAACTTTCGCCCCTAACGAGATTGCGTGTTTGTGGACGGTTTCGCCCCAACTGCACTTGTCGACACAGGTGCCGCTATTTGTGTAATCAGTGAAGTGTTATGCCGCAAACTGAACAAAGTGACGACTTCACTGTTTCATATTTCCTTAAGCAGAGCGAGTTCGCAGCACGTCCAGCCTTCTGTCACATGTACTGCTCGTGTTGTGAATCAGGGAGTGCTGTACATCATTGAATTTGTCGTCCTTCCTCATGCGTCTCATGAAATCATTCTGGGATGGAACTTTCTTTCCGCTAATCATGCGGTTGTTCAC